TTCAAGGATAATGAAATTAATGAAATTACATAAACGTTACCAACATAATAGTTTGATTAGTTTTATACAAAAAGATTTTAAAAATAATTTTCATCAGCAAGTTCAGGTAAATAATTTAATTATTGTTTGTCATTTTTTCTATTCATTAATTAATATTCAATTTATTTTTTATTTTTTAGCAAAAACTTATCGATGTTCAGATCAAATCCTTAATAAAACGACAATTTTTAAGAAATGAAGGCAAAAATGTTGTTTATGTTCCCTAAAAAAAAAATTTCATTTTTCATTTTTTTTATTCTTGCTTAACCGCAAAGATAGCATTATAAATGTTGATCAAATTTGTGATTTTTTCAAAAAAAATTTAAACCAAAATAAAAAAAAACAAATCTTTACCACATCTGAAAGAATGTTGTTTGAAATTTACAACATTTACTCAGATTCTAGACGACTTAAGCATAGTGGAAGTTTGTTGTTACACGAAATGTTATACCTCTCTAAATTGGAGATCAAGTTCAGATCCAATTCAAATCCAATTCATCACTTACTTTTTATTGCCAGAATGTTTGCCGTGTATTGTAAAACTACGTTGCACAATATAAAAAATTAGTGTAACATTTCAAATTTTCACTATGCTGACGGCTTATTTATTATTTTACCACGAAGATCATCTATAATCATTAATTGTTTATAGTAACAATTGGTCAGCTTCAAAATATTAAAACAAAAAAAAAATTATATCATTTTAAAAAATTTAACTGATAAGTTTTATTGTTCGACTCAAGCTTCAAAACTTATTGGCTGTTTTTTTTTCTTAAACTGAAAATTGGCCGAATTTTGTTATTATTATACACTTGAGAAATTGAGACTAATACTAAATAAATTTCATGTAACAACTTTTTTCATAGAGATTCAAAATATTGTAACACGAAAATTATTGTTGATTTCTGAGCATAACTTTCAAATTTAAAAAATCCATGAAAAGAAAATTTCAGACAAATTTTTTTTTTGGGATTAATAGACTCCCTTTTTAAAGTTAAATTGAATGGTGTGGGTTTTTTAAAATCCAATGTGTGGATCACATAATATTTCAAAAATTTTAACCTTTGAGTATAGATGATCCGCACTGTACTTATTAGTTCCTATGGTTATTTAGTCTACATTATAATAATAAACGAATATTTTACAGTCGTTTTATAATAAATGTTCCTGAAGAGGAATTGTCTTCCACGTATTGCTTTCAAATTGAACAAGCTCATTGGTTCTACGAAGATTTTGTTCGCGAACAAAATCCAAATTTACCTAGCTTCGCATTAAAAAGTCTTTTCTGCAATAATACATATCAGCACGGATTATTTAGAAGATATATATGTAACTGAAAATATTGTAGACAATCTTAATATCATTAATAGTACAATGTTAAAAGGAAACAACAAGATTGTTTATCATATGAACAATTAAATATTACAAATTTTCATACTTTGAGTATGAGTGTAATAATCTAATCAAAGTTTGAATTTGTATTAGTTACATTCACTTTGTCTGATTTTGTTGCAGAACTTTAAGATTGATTGCTTGATTGTTGAGATATCGCATAATTTTTTTTTTAAAGACTATGACATTTGTGTAAGTATGATCCAAAATAATTATTATTGGTGTGAAAATTTTTCAGGCAAAGTGGGATGATTTTTTTTGGTGATCAGGGAAAATCACCCCATTATTATAATTGATTTTTTTATATAAATTCGAAATATTTTCTACAAATCTCAAATATCAATTAAATCTAAAAATTATAATAAATATAAAAAACTTTAAATTACAAAAATGTCAACAACATCTACTCAAGCTACTCAAACGACACAATCAGGACAACAACCACCTCACGCAGACGATACAGAGTTAACCACAGCTCAAGATTCAGAATCCCAAACACCTATTACTCGAACTGTGGTCATAGCTTTAGATCACTCAAGTGATAGTCAGCAAGCATTCGACTGGTCTTTGAAAAACTTTTTGAGGAAAGAAACTGATTTGGTATTTATTTAATTTATGTGTGATTAGAATTAGAAAGTTTAATATTGGGATTGCAATTAATATTTCCATTGATTAATTAATTGAAATAATTAGACTGTATTAGTTAATGTTCGACCAGTTCCTACAGTTCCTATACCTTATGCTGGTAAGAAGATATGAATTGATGATGGAAATATTTTGAATTGATTGATTAATTTCTTTTCCTTGATATATTTAGCAATGGGTGCGAGTTATATGGATTTCGGTGAAATTGTAGCTAATCTAGAAGAACAGGTAACTAATTAGGATTTGAGAGAGAAATCAATATAACAAAAATAAAATTTAATTCTTAAATTCTTTATTTTAATTTTTAAAATACATTTAGTATCGTATTAGTAGTCATACATTATTACAAGAATATGCTGCTAAATTAAAGAGTCACAATGTAGGTATTCACAATTAATAATTAGCATTGATTGGTAAATAATAATGACAATGGTGATTGATAATAATCACCTTTTAATTATTTGTTTAGTTTGCATGTAAAGCTATAGCAATGAGAGGAGACGCAAGAGATGAGATTGTACGTAAGGTTGGTGAATTGAACGCTGAGGCTTTAATATTGGGTAATCGTGGATTAGGTGCATTGAAAAGGTTAGATATTTTTCTTTTTTATCTGTGAATGAAATAATTGAAACATCAAACAATTTAAATCTAATTATTTCCAAAATATTAGAACTCTTTTAGGATCAGTTAGTGACTATTGTACTCATAATTGTCACTGTACTGTTATTATTGTCAAGGAAAAGGTGAATCAACAACATGATAAAAAGCAATAACTTGTATATATTAATTATTTTTTAAAAAATTTTTTCTTCAATATGTATAAATTAAATCCAAACAAATAAAATGAATTCATTCCAAATTTTATATTATGTGAAATGAATTTCTTGTGAGTAGTATTTAAAATTGGACTTAAATGAAGTTAGTGTTCAATATTATCATAATAAAATAATAATAAAATAATAATTGGTCAAGTGGCTTAAAGTTTTGTTGTTACTTTAATTCATTTACAAAATTAACGATTGATGGGAAATAAAATAAATTTAAGTGGAATAAATGACTTTATTGTTGCGCGTACGGTGCAGATCATCTATAATCATTAATTGCTTATAGTCTTGATTTCAATGACATTTATAAAAACAAAGACACCAAGACATTTTATAAAACAACAAAATAAAATAAAATAAAATACAATAAAAAATAGTACCTCTGTCATTAACACGTCTTCAGACCCAAACCATACCAGTCAACATTTACGTTTCCTCGTTTTGTAAAAAATAAAATTTTTATTCGCATCCAAAAAAAAAAAAAAATCAATCACATCAAAAAAATAGGGGTTCTTGTACAACCCATACATGTAATAATAATAAAGTTGCTAAATTTTTTTGTGTACAATCACAACTTTCCTTTTTTTTCTTTTAAAAATTTTTTAAAAACAATATAAAAATAAGTGTTTATTATATAAGAATTACTCTAGTTAAGAATGGATAAAAAGTCTGTTCAGTTTTTAACTATTAGAACTGTTACTATTTTTTACAAATTAGAAAGAAAGGTGATCGATCTATGGCTCCTAAGTAAGTATTGTTAAGAGAATAATTTAAAAAATGGTAATTGCATTGGTTACTAAAGTGGGGCATACTGCAACAAAACCAGACAAAGTGAACATTGGTATTACCAGAATTTCAGTGATCAAAAAATTTTTTAACAGTACAATTGTATTACTACTACAATGTGATAGTGATATTTTCTCCCACTTCTTATATTATCTCTATATAAAAATAGTTAATATGAAACTCATTTATATCAGGTCTACTATGGAACCCAAAAATTACAGCACCATTAGAAGTATTTTGAAAAAGGAGCAAGGTGAAAAAATTGCTCCTTACATTTCAAAAATCAATCATATTAATATAGTCATTGATGTTCTTCAGTAATTCTTAACAAACCCATATCTGAATCTAATAATAAATAAATATTATTATTTCCAAGATAAAAATATAAATTTTTGTCAATAATTACTAAAAGCCTTTACCCAAATCTTCATGTAACTTCAGCAAAAAACTTTATCAAAATCGGATGTTACCTCAATTATAATAATCTGGGGTTTTGTTACTACCAACTTGGGTAAGCCTAATATGAAGAGTGTTGGGTAAACCCATTAGTAAATTTTGAAAACTTTAGGGTAACCTATCTATGTAGTTTCCGGGGTCATATTCATAACAATAACAGTGGGATAAATTTATTAATTATTAATACATGATGTAAGTGATAAAATTTTATTTTAATAATTTATTAAATAGTATGATAGAAGTCAAGCTAGAGGCTTTAAAGGTTGTTTAAAATTGCAATTGAAATTGAAAGTAACAATATAGAAATAGATAGAATATGAATTATTAATATTGAGAAAGAAACTGTATTGACTTGACGAAATTGGTTTAAAATAAAAATTTTTTTAACCAGTCATGCACCGAACATTAATTATGTGGAAGAGATCTTTGTGTACGTGAGATTGATGATAATAAATATTTTTGTTTCCTTTTGTCAAGTTTTGAATCAAATCATATGTTTTGCTTATTGAGTACTATTTAATTAATTGAATACACTTTTCTAAGTCATTCATTTTTATAATTTATTCTTATAAAATAATCAGATATCTTACCATTAATTTATTCAAATTTTCATAAAATATCTTTTCGCCCAAACTATTTTTAACTGGAATGTCAATACTGGTAACCAGCCTAACTCTATATATACTGTACCAGGTTGGTCAAGCACAAAGATTTTCATTACAAAACCTTGAAGAAAGATTTAGAAATTATTATATTTCACCATTAAATACTAACTAATATATAAAACATAAAAAACATTTCTTACCAGCTACTAAAACACCATATATATTTACACCAGGGTTGGCAAATTGACTGGTCCATTGAGAACAGATGGATTTTGGACTGGTCCATTGCCATTAATAAAATACTAAATATGGTTAAAGTGTTACACTAATGGACCCAATAGACCATCAATGGACCGCACATTTGCCAACCCTGATTTACACCATTGTTGTTATAATCAATGTTACTATCATTTCTGTATTTATTATAGAAATAACTAGATATCAAATCCTTGCAGTCTTTCATCATCTTTATCATTTTATTTAAGTCAGATAACATTTTTGGTTGTTTTTCCTCCCATGGTGAGCTGCACACTTCTCCTACTAATAACTCAAAATTGACTTTTCCTTGATTCTTATATGTCTCTTTAGAAATAAACTTAAGATCTGGCTTTTGTCCTTTTCTTGCCTTTTTCTTCATTTTTAAAAGGAAATAGTCATTTTTACTCAAAATAATAAGATTTATTTTTTTTTAAAAAAAAATACCTTTTTTGTAATTGTCAATTTCATCACTAGAACTGTTTTCATTTTTTCATTTTTTTGAACTTATTGATCCCTTTGGTGAGCTGCACACTTCTCCTACTAATAACTCAAAATTGACTTTTCCTTGATTCTTATATGTCTCTTTAGAAATAAACTTAAGATCTGGCTTTTGTCCTTTTCTTGCCTTTTTCTTCATTTTTAAAAGGAAATAGTCATTTTTACTCAAAATAATAAGATTTATTTTTTTTTAAAAAAAAATACCTTTTTTGTAATTGTCAATTTCATCACTAGAACTGTTTTCATTTTTTCATTTTTTTGAACTTATTGATCCCTTTTCAAAACTGGATAAATTTTTTTTTTAAGTAAAAACAAATTTATAACAATAAAATGATCAAGAGCTAAAAAATTCATTTGCACTAAGAGTCTTAATTTCTGAATATCTCTTGCTGCGATATTAAAAGGAATTGTCACAGAATGTGACATCCATGTACCTTCATTAATATCATATTCTTCTTTGTATTCACCATTCCTTCTGAAGTATGAACTAAATAAAAAATAATTATATTGTATTAAAAAGAAATAATATGCTTAAATAAAAGAATATACATACAAATGATTCTTAATTTCATTCAAGTTAGATTCATTTATAACTGAAGTAAAATCGCTTGAATTAAATATACAATCACTGATATCTGATAATTCATTCCATTCATCATCATTAAAAAAGGGTTTTAACCATGAATCTGGATCAGATACGTCTAAAATATTTGAGCATAATGGATTATCCTGATCTAGTTCTTCAAATGAACCTTTTAAGATTTCCTCTTTCAGACAATTTTGGATTGGTGATGATGGTGTCATTATTGTTGTTGATGAATTTCTAAAATTCCATGGCTATTGATTTATATTTTCATCCTAAAAAAATTTATAAGATTTTTTTTTAAATAAAAAAAGACAATATATTATATACGTGTATATAAATTATATGTACTTCAAGATTTAATACTCTAAGTTTTTCTTTTGATTGTTTTAATAGTTTCATGAATAAGTTTTGTACTCTATATTATTAATAATATATTACAATATTAAAAAAGAACAATATTAATTTATATCCTAATCTTTTGCCAAAAATTTTTCTTAAAAGATATTATATCTTAAATGAAGTTGGTGTCTACCACCACCTTTAATCTTAGTCAATTTTTACATTCATCATTATTGTGCAATAAAAAAAAAACAAAAATATAAATTGAAAAAATTAAATTATACCTTTTCCTCATTTGATTTGGAAATATAAAAGTTTATATTAATTTTTTCTTGCTTTAGAAATTGCTGTAACCACCCAATGTAAATTTCTTTTAATAAAGTCACTGTAAATTTTATACTGCCTTTGTTGGCCATAAAGTAATACAAGCTTTTTAAATTCCAAGTGTTTTATCAAAGCTGTCGAAATATTCTTTACAACTTCTAAAAAAACATCTTTCTTTATCATCAAGTTCTTTTCCATTATTTTTTAGTGGATATATACAGTCTTCCAAATTTTCCACACTATATATAATAAAAAAAAAAGTTCATAATTAACTAGAATGACGGCGAGTGGCAAGTGATAACCACCACCAATATGATAAACACTTACTCATTTTTCTTGGCCAAAGTTTTTGATTCTCTTCTTTTATTGTCAATATTTTTATTATTACAAGGCATGCTTTTAATAAAGAAAAAAAAAGTTTGTTATTTGATCGACATGTACACATTAATTATTTATCCTATTGGTTTTTTTTGGTAGGACAGACATGATTGATTTTTTTTTTTTTTGGGAAAACAATTTATTTTTTGACAGAGTCCAAGGTGACAAAACATGAGTGTTGTTGTTTGGTTTGGTTTGGGTCTCCTAAAGAATATGTGTTAATAACTAACCAGAGGTACTTTTTTTTATTTGTTTTGATTATACATGAAGTCGAAATTAAAACCCCAAAGTCGAAATGTTTTGACTTGAGGCAACTAGATAGTAAAAATCAGTTTCGACCTTATTTTGACCCTAATTCAACCAGATCTGCAACTGGTTGAAATAGTTTCGACTTCATGTATAGTATTGATATAATGTGGTGTCTTTTATTTTATATAAATATTTTAATTAGAAATCAAAACACAGAGCAGATCATTGCTGGGTAATTACAAGATTCTTATCAAGATTGTGTATTTTTCTTTTTGTAATTGTAATAATAATACTATTATTAATATAATTTAATTACAAGATGTCAAGGCAGCATTGACTGTTGAAAAAGAAACAATTCAAATATGCAATGTTTGATTATCGGAAATTTACAAGTGTTGAAGCATGCATGCTACCTTGAACACATTACAGTCATTCTCACATATTCCTCATGTACAAAAGGCCAATCTTGACCTGGCAACCCAAAGATATGATGATGCAATTGAATTCCAGAAGGCACATGGATCTGGAGTTTATCAAGACTGTATCAATCATCAATGATGCTTTCACTAATCTTCCCAGACCAGAGAAGGCTAGCCGAAAAGTTGCCTGCAACAATCCCTACTCTAGGGTAAAGATGGCTCTGTGATCAAACTGCAACTCTGCTGATGAATTGTAGTGCCATGTAAATATCCAGATCCATCAAAGCAAAGAGAATCTGCAACTTGTTTCAAGCACAGGAAGTCACAATCCAGAGCAGGGTTGATGGCCCTGAAATTGCATTGGGCTCTGATGTTAAGAGGAAAGTTGTAAAATAGTGTTTGTTTTGTATAATCATTTTCATAAATTTTCTGTTTCTCTTTAATTTTTATTTGACCAACTGAATTTGTTTTTCAAATGGGGGTAGGGTTGTTGGTGAGTAGGTGTACCACCAACAAGACAGAAAACCAGGACTCAAAACTTGGAATTCAGCAAAAATCAAAAAACAACAACCCAGGATGCAACCTCCTGAGCTGCAGGATTTTGAACCAGTCTTAACACAAACTTTATTCTAGAGAGGTATAACACACAAATACTGATCCTCATCAGCAATTGATGCTCATATGGAAACAGCCAGCCTGGTTTGAGGGGAAGATAAGAGAAGTTTTGTCCAAAGCCTTCCAACATGTGGTGGACTTTACCCTTGGAAAAAAATTTCCATGTTTATTAAGGGTATCTGCATGTTTGTGATAGGAAATTTTTATTAAATTTGACACCTGTGATCAACATCAGATTTATTATTCATAAGGAACTATAATATTTTTTTGATCCTCCCTATTTATTTATTCTTGTGCACTCCAGAGATCTGGGTAGACAAGTATTACTAAAAGTTTCATTTATGCATGGCCTTGGTATTATTTATTACTTGGGTGATGCAATTTATTTATTAACACCTTGTAAAAAGGAATATATACAAATAATGACAACACATAATCACAAATATTGATATGATGGTGAGAAAAAGCATTTACATTTAAGGAGAGGTTAAAAAGATAAGTAATGTTTATTTATTTTGGTTCAACTAAAGAAAAATACATAATGATTTGATTAATTTATATATTAAATATTAAAAGACAAAAAAACCACTAGGGAAGCCTTTTATTGGAATACTAAATCTTTTCATTATCATTATCACTATTGTTGCTAACTATTTGAGTCAGGAGAGCATTTATAGTTAATGGCAAACAAAATAGATTTAAAATATAAATCAGAATGAATAGGGAATATGTCAGCGAATGGCTTTGGTTTGTAATTTGAATACAGTTGAAACTGATTTTTATTTCCCAAGAATTTTCTTACAAAAATTACTTACAAAATTATTATCATTATTTTTTGTACATAAAATTTCAATTGCTTATATACTTATAACAATAATAAATAAAATAAAATCATTATACAGTATATAACAAATCACTTGATTTCATTATTCTTGTAACACTATTACTAACATCAATATTTTTTCACTTTTCTTTTTTTCATTTTTTCTTTATTGGCTTTTCCCATTACATAATTCACATAGAGTTGATTTTTTATAGTTTTGCAACGCAATAGAATAACAATCCACAAATGGTTCACTGACAAAAAATAAATGCAAACAATAATAGTATGTAAATATGGAAATATTTTATTTTTTGCTTGTCATTATTTAATGAAATAAATTACTGTGCTTTTTCTTATATTGATTGCTGATGATAGAACAATTAAATATAGACCAAATTTCCAAAATTTTCAATTTCTCTTTTTTTAAATATTCGCTTTGTTATAAAAAACCTACAAAGTGAACATAAAATTATATATATAGGGATAAGTGTATATGAAAAGTAATAATGTAAATAATAATCATAATGGTCCTAATGAATATCAAAAGGCAATTGATTTTTTAGAAAAAGGATGTAATTGTGGTTGTTCTTCAAGAATTCCCAAAGAACAATTTTCAGAATTAAGAGAATCCTTTCAAGCTCTTACTAAACCAGAACAAGACATATTTTTAATGGCCCAACTTAAGGCATAGATGGGGGATTAACAAGCACTAGCAGATGCCTTAAAAAGAAAACCAGATCCAATAAAAGAACTTTCTATCATTGGGATCACAATACACTTCTTTGTCAAGAAACTTATCTCAATATGTTAGGAATTGGTAGAACTT